CTGGTCTTGAACCCGCGGGCTCAGGCAATCCACTCGCCTCGGCCTCCCAAAGTGCTGGGATGACAGGCTGAGCCACCGAGCCCGGCCTTCCATTTTTTTTAATCAGAGTCTCCCTCTGTCGCTCAGGCTGGAGTGCAGTGGCATGCTCATGGCCACCGCAGCACTGACTTGCTGGGCTCAGGCGATCGATCCTTCCACCTCAGCCTTCCAAGTAGCTGGGACTACAGGCGTGCACCACCACATCTGGTTCATTTTTTGATTTATGGTGAAGACAAGATCTTGCTAAGTTGCCCAGGCTGGTCTTGAATCCTGGGCTCAGGCAACCCTCTCACCTCCGCCTCCCAAAGTGCTGGGATTACAGGCGTGAGCCAACGCGCCCAGCTGGGTGATATTAAAATGCTTTTCAGAGGAAGCCTCCCGATTCTGCAAGCTGGGAGCAGCCCCGGCAAGGGGCATTGTAGCAACTGCCCAGGTTGTTCTGACGCAGGTGGTCAGGGTGGCGGCAACAGGGGTGGGGCAGGAGGACCGAGAGATGGGTGAGGCTGGCACGAGTGAAACGGGGATGGCACAGGGGCCCCCAGCGCGGGTACTGCAGCACCCTCCTCCCCCTCTAGGTTCAACCAGTGCTACGGGGTGCTGGGGGTGCTGGACCAGCTCCACGGCACCGATACCGCATTCAGACAGACCAAGGCCTACGAGAGGCACGTGCTCCTGCTGGGCCTCACCCCGCTTTCAGAGAGCATCCCCGACCCCCCGAAGATGCAGTGAGAGGGCCCGAGTGCCATCCTGCTGTCCCTCAGCTGCGGGACACCGAGGTGGCCGGCGGCTTTTTACCTGCTCCTAACTGCTTGCCTGCTTCAGCCACCATCACTTATGATGACACCACCAGGGCAGAGAGAAGGTCAGCTTCCTGGGAAAGCAGGGCTCAGGACCGGCCAGGGGTCCCCCAAACTCCTATCCTTAATGGGACCAGGAGTTGGCTAAGGGAAAGGGAAGAAACAGCCCCCCAGCCTGGAGGCCATCGGAGGAAGGAACCACTCTGAGCGGCTCCCGCCAAGTTCCCCAGCCCCCCAGTGGAAGGAGGGAGGGGACCCGCCCAGGTAACTCCTCTGTGGCATAAGACAGAGAGGATGACGAAGGTGAAAAGGGGACCAGAGGCTCCCTGGCTTCAGGGGCAGGGAGCTGCCAGCGCGTTGCCCCTTCCTGTCCCAAAAGGCTTTCCTCATACCTCCTCAGGCCAGGGCCAGGCCTCCCTGGCAAATGGTTACAGGTCTCATTTCTTTTTTCTTTTTTTTTTTGAGTTGGAGTCTCACTCTGCCGCCCAGACTGGAGTGCAGTGGCCGCTTCCGGTCACCGCAGCCTCGACCTGCTGGGCTCCGGCGATCCTTCCGCCTCAGCCTTCCCAGTAGCCGGAATTACAGGCATGTGCTACCACGCCTGGCTGATTTTTTGATTGATTGTAGAGAAGAGGTCTCGCTGCCCAGGCGGGTCTCGAACCCGCGGGCTCAGGCAATCCACTCACCTCAGCCTCCCAAAGGCGCGGGATGACAGGCTGAGCCACCGAGCCCGGCTAGGTCTCATTTCTTGACACGGCAGATACCAGGCCTCACTTTACCCCAACGCACACTCAGACACACAAAACCCATTCCGAGTCCGTGGCAAAGGCCCTAATTCAACTCTGACCCACCTCAAAGTTTCCCTTTCTGGAAGGAGGAAGACAAAATCAATTCTAGGAGCTCCTCCCTGGATTAAAACTGGGATGCCAAAGAGGTGCAGACCAAACCCCAACACTTAGCCTTCTGGGGAAACCCAAGACTAAACGCGGAGAACTGCCAAGAGGAGGTCTTTTTACCCACAGAGGGAAGGGTCAGAGTGGCTGCCCTTTAGGGACACCCAATGGAGGCCCCCAATCAGTCTGGCTGAATCAGGATTTGAGGTTGGAATCCTCCTCCTCCAACAAAGAGAAAAAAAAGTTACACCATGCAAAGGGCAAAACCTTTTTTCCCCAAATGGTGAACCAATATATCAATACCACTTACTCAGGATGTCTTCCCCCCCCCCCCAAGTTGGAGTCTCACTCCGTCGCCCAGGCTAGAGTGCAGTGGCACACTCATGGCCACCCCAGTGTCGCCCTGCTGGGCTCAGGCGCTCCTTCCACCTCAGCCTTCCAAGTAGCTGGAACCACAGGCATGTGCCACCACACCTAGCTACTTTTTAAAAAATTTATTGTAGAGATGAGGTCTCATCAAGTTGCCTAGGCTGGTCTCAAACCCATGGGGTCAGGCAATCCCCTCACCTCGGCCTCCCAAAGTGCTGGGATTACAGGCCTGAGCCACCGCACCTGGCCACTCAGGATGTCTTTACCAGGAATTATCTAAAACCAAACGAGAGCTGTCTGGGTTGAAGCAGTCCCCACCCTGGCCCCCCTGCCCAGCAGCCGGCCGGTCAGGAACGCTGTAGCTCCCAAGAACAATTGGAAGACCACTCTTTGATTTGAAGACCACTTGTACTTGGTGTCTGTTTCTAACTTGTAGTTCTCTTCTGTTAAGAATGCCAACAACCCCGTCCCCTCGCAGTTTCGTAAAATACTTTTAACATTTGATACGGTCAGGTCTCCAGGCAGGACTACGATCAAGGATTGCATCCTCTCAGCTCTGGGACCTGGACTTCCCCAGGAAGCCAGCTATGCCCCACCAGGCAGCCCCCTCCCTGGCCTCCAAAGCCCCACCTGTGCTCCAGGCCTTGGTGGGCCCGGGTCTTCCCTAGGATGGCCCTCGCCATTAGCTGAAGTCAGCTTCAAAGCACCAGTTTCTCACAGGTGCTGGCTGGTCTGAGCCTACCACCTAGTCCTATGAAAAAATATTTGGAAAAAGCCCATCTTCAGAAAGATAGGAGGTAAGGAGAGTGGATGAAGGGAAGGAGAAACAGACACGCTTCCCAGCAAGGTCTTAGACTGAGGTGCTGAAGGACAAAGGCTGTCACTTGCTCTTCCTCTTGGTGGGCAGGTGGGCAGGCCCCAGCAGAGGGACCCAGCCCTGTCCTTTTTTGCATCAAACAGAATAGCCCTCTGTTCTGGTATAAAACAGAGGCTGGTATAAAAGGCTGAAAGAAAGGCGTTAAATTGCCAGCAGAAAATATGACTATGAAAGGAAATATCATGTAAAGTAAACTGGTCTCTCTTGATGGCACTCGATGCTTCTGTTTTTTGTCTACAAGAATTCTCATGCTCCGGATCTGACTGTGGCCTGGGGGCTGAGGCAGGGTTCTCTCCAGAGCCTCCCCTGAGCACCCTGACAGGAACACAGGCAAGTGGGGCCAAAGGAACCTGTCCTCTCATTCCCAGCCTGGCCACCGTCTTCAGCTCTCCCCTGGCCTACAAAGACACCGGGTGCTGCAGTACCTGCCCATGCAGTGGGAGAGAACTCTCCAGAAAACCCTTTCCGATAGAAGCGCCGGGTATGGGAATAAACGGTGGTCATGTGAGTGAGCGGAGGTCACACCTCAGTTCCTGACCTGACTCCTGGGCGATGGGAGGTGGGCCCTCGGCCATCCTTACATCACGCCTTAAGTCCAGGGATGACCCGAACACTGTAAGGCCAGGGTATGGGAAAGTCTGTTTCCAGGGGCTGTGGCAGTCCTCCACCAGGAGCCGTCAGCCTCTCTTCCTGGCCATCTCCTAACACAACGCTGGACCACGACCCATGGATGGGAACCACGGGAGCCGAGAAGGGGGCTGAAGCCCTGGGGCACTATCAGTGGACTGCTTTCTTCCCCTTCTATGGCACTGGCCATGGATCCCATGTCTCACTTAAGACACAAGGTAACATCGAGTCGAGGCTGGCAGACGCTGTGAAGACTCCCCGGGAAGACACCTGAAGACATCAGCAGCCCCAGCCTCAAGCAGACAGCCCCGAAGCCCACGCCAGAGTCCTGCCCAGACTTCCTGTGCACACCCAGGGCCCCAGAGACCAGCCAGTATCTTGCCTTTTCAAGTTTTTATTTTTATACATTTTTTTGTATTAAAAAGAAAAGCATAATTACCACAAATTACAAAGGACTAAAGCAGGACTAGAATAATGAATGAATCACTTCAGCCTGGAAAGCAGATACTCTCAATAATATTAATGTTATAATACAAGCTCATTCAAGTATTTTACATTTCTTTTTTTTTTGTCCTTTTAAATGTGATATCCTAGCACATAGTAAAGATAATGTACTACGAGCGTAAGGTGGAACCTTCTCCGCAAAGCCAGATGACACGTTTTCCTCTCCAGTGAGAATTGGGCTACAAGTTCTTCTGTTCTCTGCCACCAACACGGCTGAAGAAAGAGGGCAGGGCTGGGGAAACCGGGGACCCTTCCACACAGGGATACTCGGGGCTCTGCTCAGGAGGGAGCCAGACACCGAAGATCTCCACCCAGGGTTCTGGCAAAAAACCCCTCCCCCTCCCTAACCAGCCATCTCCCTCGCCCTCCTCTTCGTATCCAGGGCCTTCTGAGCAGCTTACTTTTGTTTGCAAAAGGGAAAAAAAGAGCTACCACATGGAACAAAACGGAAACGCTGAACAACTCTGACGTGGGGGCTCAGCACCTCCATCTGAGCCCCAGGGGTCCAGGCTGGGGCAGGGCCGCATGGCCCCTCGTGGGGTGGCACCTCGCTGCCTTCGCTGGGTGGCACACAACCCTCGGGTGTCTGCGCCCGGGCTGCTGGCGTGGACCGGCCCTCGGGGCTCGGGAGCACGAGGGCTGCGGGCAGGCGGCGGCTCGTCTCAGTCTTGGCTCCCCGTGGGAGGATGGCGGGTGTGAAGTGGCTAGTCCTGATGGCCCTGCCGCTCCTGGCATGCTTGTCACAGATACATCGGTCCTAAATTCAAGTGTCTTCAGAAAGTGAAGATGTAAACTACTCTTTGCAACATTAACTCCTAACATGTTACAAAAAAAAAGAAGCTCCCCCTCCCACCAGCCTATGTTGAGATGAAGTTGTCACCTCCCTGCCCCAAAGGGCTCCCTCTTTCGGGGGTTTCAGTGAAGAGGATGGCAGGCCCCCGGCTGGAAGCCAGTAAGAACAGCCTTTCCCCACACCCCTAAGGCTTCCTGGCGCCCCCAAACCCAGCAAAGGACAAACGCTGAGGTTTCTGTGGTGCTGGATACAGTACAGGGCCGAGTGACCTGAAGGAGGGAGTAGGGAAGGAGGAGGGCCCAGGAGTCCTGTGTCAGGCGCCACTCGGGGCAGGCACCGGGCCGGGGAGGGAGCGGCCTCAGACCCCGCACCAAAGCAGAGGCCGGTGTTCACCCTTGGCTCGAGACGAAGGGGCTGCAGGAACCGGGACAGGCTTCCCACCTAGCCACTGGGAGGGCCGAGGCGAGCGAGGTGTCCAAGACAAGGGCAAGCCCTTGTCAGCCTGGGACACCGTCTCCTGTTCCCATCCTTGGGGCCCAGCGGAGGAACCCCCTGAAAAGCGAGGGCCAAAGACGCTTCAGGAGCGAGTGGCGCAGCACGAGCCCCTCGGCGTTGCCCAGGTCCCACGAGCGAACACGCAGTCCCGCCCGACCCGACACACCTGGTCTGTGTGGGTCTGTCCCTCCTCACCCCCCCAGCTTCTGGCAGCAGCCTCCAGTCGTTCCACTGTCATCCAAGCCCAAGCCCAGCAGTCAGTGGCTGGAGAAGAGAAGTCAGGTATACTCTATGTCCACATATACCTTCCTGCCACGGGCGTCACCAGCTGGCAGATTCCCCCCAGCCCCCAACTCCTCCTCTTCCTCTTTCCCAGGTGGGGTCAAGCGGAGGGCGGGCAGAGGTCAAGGGCTTGCAGAGGGGCACGCAAGACGGGGGACCCCAGGAGGGGAACGGCATCCCTCTCCACTTTGCGAGACAGACGAAGCTTCCTCGAGGTCTCCGATCTTCCGGGGAGACACGAGACGTTTCCCAGCCTCGGCAGCAGGTAGGAGCTCGCCTTTCCCCTGGGGCAGGGGATGTTCAGGCTGCAGACAAGTGTGCTCCAGGTCCAGGTCAACTCTGCTCTACAACAGTTTGAGACAAACTTGGCCTTGGGCTCCAAGGGATGCCGGGGTCATGGCAGGGTGGGGCCTGGCGTGAGGCGACAGCAAGCACGAGCAGGGACACAACGGTGGCAGCAGTGTGCAGACGCGGGACGTCAGCTCCAGCGAAGTGTGGCAGGGAAGTCTCTCTTGCCTCCAGGCAGGGGCGCTGTGCATGCAACTCAGTCCGGAGAAAGGTTCCAGCCAGTCCGAGCCCAGGCACATCCAGAGAAGGTGGGAGCTTCTCCAACTCCAGCGAGGAAAACAGGCTTTCGGGCAGTTCAGATTCCCGCTCCACATAAGGCAACTTTTAAAAAAATATTATTTCCAAGAACAAAACAAAAACTCCAGGGGAGGGGAAAGACATCACTTTCTGTGGATTAGGTGGGGGTTTTCTGATTTTTTTTTGGTCTTTTATGGTCGATTTTGTCTTTTTTTTCCCCATTTTCCCAAGGATGGAAAGGTCAGAGAAAAATAAAATAAATCATCTTTCAATAGTCTTTTCTGGTATGAGCAGCGTCTCTCTGGGCTGGGGAGTAAAGGGTGTGGGGAGCGGGGAGCGGGGAGAGGCCGAAACCTTCCCCCAGCCCCCGGTTTCAGATCCTTTGGTTTCCTTCTCCCAGAAGCTGGCAGAAGGGCATGGTGGGACAGCAGGGCGAGAACACGGGGGTGACAAGCCCCAGATGGCCACGGGGCTGGTGCTCCTGGGGCCGGGGGTGCCGCCAGAGCCCTCCAGGGGACAGTGCTGGGCAGTGGGGCCACAGGGCCTTCTCGTGGGCTGCATAGTTGGCTTGAGGGAGCAGGAGGAGGCTGTGGGTGGGACTGGGACTGCGGCCTACCAGCCGCGGGCAGGGCTGCAGAGTGATTTTGGTAATCCAGACAAACTATCAATAATTTAAAACTTGATATATATATATATATGTATATATATATAAAAAAAACCTCCCCCCTCCCCCGCCCCCCTTACAAGAAGCTCAGGTGTAGAGTCGTGGAGAGGGGAGGGGAGGGGAGGGGGCCTGGAGCTCCTGCCGGGGCCCTGACAGCCCCACGGTGTACACACTGCTACTCAGCACACAGGTCCATCCCAGTGACCCCAAGCCTGCCCTTCTCTGTCCCCTCTCTCCAGGGACTGGGCACCCTGTGGACTCTTGCCTGCCCACCCCTCCCTGACCCTGGCCAGGGCCACGGGGCTTCACTTTCCCACAGTCTGTGTGTCCGAGTGCTGGCTTGTCCACTTGGCGTCTTCCCGGACAGGCTGGCCGGCGGGGGGCGTAGGGGGCTGGCTGGCTGTGGCAGCCGGCCTGCTGGACGACTGCGAGGGGCACCGCTTCCGGCCCTCGCCGCTGCCGGCGACCACGGGGTGTCGCTTGTGGCTGCCCTCTTCTCCCATGGGGGGCTGCAATGGAGGAGGGGCACAGGTGACTGGGGCACGATCCACACCACCCTCCTCGCCAGGCCATCCAGACACCTCCTACTCCCCCTCCAGTGGAGACACCGACTGGGCTGAATTTCAGGCCGTTAGGAAGGACCTCTCCACACCGTGAGTGTGCTTTTTATGCACACCATCTCACGAGGTCACGGCACCCTTTAACGTGGACGCAACCACCTGATTTGACAGATGAGAAAACTGATGGACACAAAGTATAATCTGCCCAGGGTCTCACAGCTGGTAACAGGGACAGACAAAACTCAGGCCCATCCTAGCCCAAAGGACAGACTGTTACCCACCCATGTCTGTTCCCTCTGAGGAGGAGGAATCGCTTGCTCAGGAGCATGGAGTGTGGGCATCAGAATGCTCAGAAGGCCCAGATGCTCCTGGGTCACCCCATTTCCCCCGAGGCCCACACAGGACACTGACCCAAGACCAGACCATGACCCAGCCTGGCCCACCACTTCCAGAGGTTCTGTGACCTCAAGGGCATGGCCTTCCCTTCTGGGCACCACAGGTGCGTCTTCCTTGTCCTCCCCCAGTCTCAGATCTACTTATCACATGGGTTTTCTCTACCCTCTTCCCCTCCTCAAGGTGAAGATGCTTAAAGACAAATAAAAGGTAGCTGTCTCTAAACTGGGAGACCTGAGTGGCTCTGCCACTATCTCACTGGGTGGCTGCACGCCTCAGTTTACCCATCTGTAGAATGAGAATAAATCATACCTACTTTACCACTGAAGGGTAAAATAGGGTCAATGTGAAAGCCCTGGCACATATTAAATAAACGGCCATTTTACAATAATAAATGGGAGAACTTTTACTGTCATTTGCTTATACTTGCCTTCCCGCTAAAAGGTTTGAAGGAGAAAAGATGCCTAGCAGAGATCTCTACTACATCATAAACTCTTGAAGGAAAAGGACTCTCTCACTCATCTCTGGAGTCCCTGAACCAGCACAGAGGATCTGCTGAACCAATTCAACAAATGATACCAACAACTTCCCTTGCATGTGCCCGCAGTAATGACCTAGACCCACCACTGGATGTCACTGTTGAGGCATGGATTCAGTAAGGCAGTGGAGACCTGGACATTAATTTGTGAACATCTGGGCTGAACTGGCCTTTTCCAGAAAGAGCAAATGCATTTATCGCGGATACCCGTCCTCACCAACCAGTCATGGCTAGCTGGGGCACAGCAGCAAGGAGGGGTGTGGGCAGAAGGGAAAGCGCGTGATGACACACAGTGACAGCTACCATGGAAGGGGAGACAGGAGCAACCACAACCACCTGCAGTCAGTCTTCCCTGCCCACTCTCACCCTCCACTTGAGGGGAAGAAACCAGGGCCCAAACTGGAGGTGAGGGGACAGAGAATGGGGGTTCTGGGGGGGACGACTAGGGTTAGAAAGAGACTTCACTTACATCCACTCGGAAGTCTTCGAGACGTCGGAATTTGCCGAGGTATTCTTGCAGTTTGGAGTCAATGTCCAAATTTTTGGCTTTGGAATATTTCAAGAAGGCCCAGAACTTCTCCAGCCCATAGAGTTGACCTGCAGGGAAAGACAAGAGGCAGAAAGAAGCTGGGCGGGAGGAGAGGACTGGGAGGCTCAGAGGAGGGAGGAGAGGTGGGATCTGCAGGGAGACCCAGATGGAGCTGGGGTAGAGCCCGGCCCCATGGAGGTACAACTCCGGCTCTTGCCTGCTTCATAGTCCTTCACGGTTTCCTCCTGAAAATCCTTGAAAATGTCCAGTCGGAACTTCTTTTCCAGGCCATAACTGTAGTATCGAAAAAGGCACTCCAAACCATATCTGCAGAACGAAAGTCAGTGAAACCAGGGCAGTTTCCTTCCGTACAACAGGGAAATGTGTCTGCATGATGGAGGAACTATGAACAGTTCAAACTGCACGCTCCTCCTTTATCAGAAAAACAGCAAGTACGTCTTAACACAATCACAACCTACAAATTTTTCACTTTCCTAATACTGACAGCAGGTGAAAATAAAAAAAAAAATCTGAAGCTGGTTGCCACAGACTTCTGTCATTAAGCACAAGTGAAACGGTCCTTTCTAAACTGTCACCTTTTTCATAACACAGCTGAAAGTTGCAGACATGTCCAGTATGTGCCTCACGCACCACTCTGACTAGCATTCCATACTTTGTATTTTTATTTGGATTAAAAACCTGAAAAGACAGTCTTCCACAATGAGGTAAACTGTCAGCAGCAGCCAAGAACAGAATTGGAATGATATAAATTCACATTGGTGTTCGCGAATAAGCTATGAAGGCTAACATGTAATGATCCTCTAAGTGGGTCCCGCATTAAATGTTCATAGCTTTCTAGGGGTCAGCAAACTCTGTCCCCTGTCCAATTACTCTTCATTTACTTAGTGTCAAGGGTTGCTTTCTGCTACAAGAACAGAGTTGAATAGTTGTGACAGAGACCTTATAGCTCACAAAGCCTAAAACATTTACTGTCCATCTTTTTACAGAAAAAGTTTTGCCAACCTCTGGTATAAGCTCTCTGCAAAGTTAGCAGCATTAAGCAAAATATAAACATCTACAAATAGAGAAGCAGTTAAGAAAAATCATGGTAAATCCACACACTGGAACAATATAAGCTATTAAAAATTAGTGTACACTTAGGGATACTGAAAGATGCTTACACTATATTACCAAGGGAAAGACATGTATGAAAGTGATATATGTAGAATGATCCTGTTTCTGTAAGCAAATACGTATGCAAATTTTACCTAATATGCATGTGAAGTCTGGAAGAGTATAAGCTTACTGGGTGTTCACAGGATGGCCTGCACACACTAAGGGCACCTGGGAAGCCTGAGGCGGAATGTTAACATTTCCCATCTCTGGACTGAAGGGTGTTTCCCCAGCTTCTTCAGACATTTGCCTTCTTACAAATTGCTTACAGAGAGCATATTTCACTTTGAAAATCAGGGGTGAAGCTGGGCTTGGTGGCTCAGCCTGTAATCCTGCGCCTTTGGGAGACTAAGGTGAGTGGATTGCCTGAGCCCACGGGTTCGAGGCCCGCCTGGGCAGCTTGGCGAGACCTCATCTCTACAATAAATAAAAAATGAGCCGGGCATGGTAGCGCTCGCCTGTAGTTCCAGCTACCTGGAAGGCTGAGGCGGAAGGAATGCTGGAGCCTAGCAGGTCAAGGCTGCGGCAGCCAGGAGTGGCCACTGCACTCCAGTCTGGGGTGACAGAGTGAGACTCCAACTCAAAAAACAAAAAAAAAAGAAAAAGAAAATCGGGGGTGAGGTGGGGATGGGAGAGGAGTCTTAAAAAGATTTGTTAATAGCAAAATACGAGAAATAACCTAAGGACCTATTAATAGGAGACTGGCTAAATAAATCATGGTATGTCCATGTTGTGTATGACGTTACAGCCTCTACAACAGAACAAGAAAGTTGCTTCTGTACAGATATGGAATGATCTCCAAACTATAGCATTAAGTAAAAAACAAGCCAATAAAAAAATGCAAGTTGCAAAGGAACGTACAGCACAGGCCATCTATTGTGTAAGCAGGAAGAGAGTGGCAGTGGCATGGGAGACGACATGGATATAGGACTTGCTCACATGGACACAGGTATTTTTAGGAAGGATCCACAAGCTTTTAATAATACTGGCTGGGTACGGTGGCTCATGCCTATAATCCCAGCACTTTGGGAGGCTGAGGCGAGACAACTGTCTGAGTCCAGGGGTACGAGATCAGCCTGGGCAACTTGACGAGACTTCGTCTCTACAATAAATCAAAAAATTAGCCAGGCATGGTGGCGCGTGCCTGAAGTTCCAGCTACTTGGAAGGCTGAGGCGGAAGGATCGCCTGAGCCCAGCAGGTAGAGGCCGTGGGTGTGTCACTGCATTCTAGCCTGGGTGCCAAGAGTGAGATTCTTGCTCCAAAAAAAAAAAGTTTCCATCAAGCATATGCACTCAATACACACAAGGGATTTCCAACTGCAGCTCTGGAAGCAGACTCGCTAGGGACCCACAACTGCAGACAACACTTTCTTCCATGCATGTCCTTCCCACCCGCCAGAGGCGCACCCCAGCCCTGCTCACCTGTAGCCTTCCTTAGCGTCCTCCAGAGCCAGCTGTTTGAACTCCTCATACATCTTCTTGTTGAAGTGATCTCGGAGGAAGAAGGACCAGAAGCGGAAGAGTGTGTTCATCTCCTGAGACTGGCCAATGCCCAAGCGCTTCCGCTCTGATGGGAAAGGAGCAAAGACATGTCTCGGCCTGGCTGCCCAGCTTTGGGATCAAAGGATCCTGGGACCTAAGCACTCAGTCCTTTCCCCAGCACCTCCAAGACCGCTGCTCATCATCTGCCACTTCGGTATGCATCAGATGCTTACTGAGCACTACCTACCCTGCATCAGGCCCTGCTGCCAGGAGCTAGGCCGGGGCTTCACCAGAAGTAGAAGCAGCAGCGACAAGCCTGCTCATAAATCTAGCTCTTAACCTCCGCTATGATCGCTTGCAAATGCAGTCAAGACAAGGCAACGCACGCAAGCATCGTTTGTAAATTCTAACACATTATATTCTACTCATTACCAATAATCACCTCAAGTCCTAAAACGTTAACAAGTGTTAAGTGGTAACTTCAAAAAACAATACACAATGTAAAAGCACAACCAAGGCTGGGTCTGATGGCTCACACCTGTAATCTCACCTAGAGAGGGCAAGGTGGGAGAACGGCTTAAACCTATTTGACCAGCCTAGGCGACATAGTGAGACCTCATCTCTATAAAAAAATCTAAAAGTTAGCTGAGCATGGTGATGCATGCATGTAGTCCTAGCTACTTGAGAGGCCGAGGTGGAAGGATCACCTAGGCCCAGCAGATCAAAGCTGCAATGAGCCACGACGTGCCACTGTACTCTAGTCAGGGCAACACAGTGAGACCTCCCTGCCAAAAGCACCCAAGCAACAGAATATAGATAAAAACAGATAAAAGTGGACATCATTAAAATTACAAACTTTGTGCATCAAGAAAGTGAAAAAATAACCCACAGAATGGGAGAAAATACTTGTAAATCATGTATCTGACAAGGAACTTGTGTCTAGGATATATATAGAGCTCCTACAACTTAATAATTAGGACAAATAACCCAGGTAAAAAAGGATCTGAATGGACATATCTCCACAGAAGATATGCAAATGGCCAGTAAACATGCGAACACATGCTCAACCTTGTCAAATAAGAGGGAAATGCAAACCAAACCACAGGAGATCCTACTTCTCACCCGTGGGGATGGTTGCAATGCAAGCAGATGGTCCCAAGTGCTGGGAGGGTGTGGAGAAACCAGAAGCATCATATACTGCTGTTCGAAATGGAAAATGGTGCCTCCACTTTGGAAAACCATCTCAAAGCAGTTACACCACGTGACACAGCCATGCTACTCCTCTACCCAAGAGAAATGAAAACTTAGGTTCACAGGAAACGTGGACATCAATGTGCACAGCAGCATTATTCACAACAGACAAAAAGCAGAGATGACCCAAATGCCCATCAACTGATGAACGGATTAAGAAAACGCAATAAGCCGGGCTCGGGGGCTCAGCCTGTAATCCCGCGCCTTTGGGAGGCTGAGGTGAGTGGATTGCCTGAGCCCGCGGGTTCGAGACCCGCCTGGGGAGGCGAGACCTCATCTCTACAATAAATCAAAAAAATCAGCCAGGCGTGGTAGCGCATGCCTGTAATTCCAACTACTTGGAAGGCTGAGGCGGAAGGATTGCTGGAGCCCAGCAGGTCGAGGCTGTGGTGGCTGGGAGCAGCCACTGCACTCCAGTCTGGGCAACAGTGAGACTCTAACTCAAAAACAAAACGCAATATACCCACCCAATGAAGTATGATTTTATAAAAAAAAGAAAGAAGCCTGACATCTGCTACAACACAGATAATTCTTGAAAACATACTAAGAGAAGGAAGCAGTAAAGAAGGACCCCATGGAGGATGATTCCATTTCTGTGAAATGTCCAGAATGGGCAAAGCCCCAGAGGCAGAAGCAGATGCGTACTTATAGGGCTTAGGGTGGGAGTATATGTGTAATGGGAGTGACTGGTAAGGGGCACAGGCTTTCTTTTGAACGTAGTAAATGTTCTAAAATTGATTCTGGTGATGGACACACAACTATAAATATACTAAAAGTGATTACGTTGTATATTTTAAATGGGTGAACTGTATGGTATATAAATTATACCTCAATAAAACCATTCTCTCTCTCTCTCACAAAACACACACACACACACACACACACACACACACACACACAATGAGGAGAGAGAAAAGTGAGGTAGATGGACCAAAAATTCCACAGCCACATTTTGCTGGCTGGAAGGGGATGGGCGAGCTCACCACAAGTGAGCAGTTAGGTTGGTTCTGAGCATCTTCCTGGTGACCCATCAGAACGTTCAGTTAAAAGACTCATTTGTGATCAAAGGAGACACACACGAGCACCTAGAGAGGCTCTTTCTTGACACTACCTTCTGGCACAGCGGTGAGCAGACTTTTTTCTATCAAGGCCCAGAGAGTAAATATTTCAGGCTTAATAGGTGACATACAGTCTCTGGTATCCCCCATACCCCTTAAGGACAGAAAAATTGTCCCTAGCTCCAGAGTCGTACAAATCAGGTTGCTGTAGATCTGGCCCACAAGCCATCACTGGGAAGCCCCTGATTTAGTGAACACAGGCCACCTCTGACGCACCCTTTTGTGAGGAGCCATGGACCACAGCAATCTTGCCAGAGATAAAGAAACATTTCACTGACATTTTAAGTATTAACAGAGGAAGATGTAGGAATGTTGAGTACCACATGCCTTTCGCTCCCTGCATTTTAAGCCGACCTGCCCTGAGTCCAACCTCAGTCCTCCTTGCTGTCAAGTCATGTCACCTTCGCTCCGAGGTCACATGCCACCAGCTCTTCTACTCTGGGTCTAAGAACGGGCCCAGAGGCTCAGCCCTCTCCCTTGCACCTCTTACCGTTAAGGCAGCGCCTACGGTACTTGTGGTAGACGTGTTGTGTGAAGCCATTTTCCTTGAGCAGTTCATGGGAAGGGTGCTGGAACTTGGGCAGTGACTGAGGGGTACAGCCATAGCTGCCAACCGCAGGCGTCCCTTCTGAGGGGCTGGAGCTAGAGAGGCCAAGAGAGTCGCTGGTCATGGATTCCCCATGGCAGCCCCACCATACGGTTAGGAGGGGTCCCGCTGACCCTTTCTATCAACCCAGATCCAGCCTCTCATGGGGCACCAAGAGAGGGGGCCCAGTCACTGCACTGGGCCCTGACTGAGATCCATGGGCCTGATTCTCTCCCATCAATTCCGAGGGTTTTTCAAAGAGGTCCCTCAGGTCACAGAGACTAGGAGACCCGGCCAGGGTCATGGAGCTTTGCAGCTGCAGTGATCTGTCCAGTGCCAAAACTTGGGCTTTTAAACATTTATTTACAAAACTTTAAATATTTAACTTCCCTGTAGACAGACTAACCCACCATGGGCCAACCTACCTACAGCTGGCCCTTGAACAACACTGTTTAACCTGAGTGGGACCACTTATACATAAAGTTTCTTCCTCCTCTGCCACCCTGAGACAACAAGACCAACCACCCCCCCCACCTTCTCCACATGAAGACAAGGATGAAGGTCTTTCTGATGATTCGCTTCCACCCAGAAAACAGCAAACGTATTTTCTCGTCCTTGCAATTTTCTTCAGAACATTTTCTTTTCTCTAGTTCACTTTATTACAATAAGACAGTATATGACACAGACAACATACATGGAATTTTCCTCTCAGGGGAGGAGGGTGCTCCAACAACCTGTGTTGTTCAAGGGTCAACCGTATCTATTTCTCAAACCATGCCTATATTCAGTCTGAATCATCTCTGCAGGGAGCAGAGAACACAGGTCTGAAATAAAAAGGAGCCTGAGCCTTGCCCCTGACCTCTGCAAGCTGAGTCAGGAGATGTAGGGTGGGGCCAAGGAATCTGTATGTTTAATCAGCTACCTGGCAGTCCTTCCTCAGGTAGACAGCAGATACCCAGGTTGGAAAACAGTTTGGAGATCTTCTCTCTCCGAGTGGACTAAAATCTGGTCTCATGTGGCTGTGATACCACTTCTTTGGAAAAAAGCCTCCCCCCTCCCAGGTCCTGAACTAAGCTTTCCCCATGCCCGGCCATTTGGACTTAGATGGGGCCCCTTAAGATTTCGGAACCACTTCCCTGTCGGGTTGATTTCACAGCTCTCCCCTTCCCATAGGCAGCCAACCCCAGGTACCTGATGGAAGCAGTCCGGGGCCTGTGCTCGCGCGAGTCCATCACCCAGCCCACATGGCTCTCCAGGGGCGGGTTTGAGCTGTGTCTTGTCTTCCTTTTTCGAGGCATCTGCAAAGGCCAGTCCCAGGTGTGTAATTATTCGTGCTCCTAAGATCCTGAGGAGCATCAGGCACTTGCAGGGCTAGGATGCCCCTGTGAGGGCATGGGGTCACACCTCCCAACAGGCCTGTCACTCATTCTCTCACACGTTCACAGAGGTGAGCCAGCAACTAGTTCGCCTATTTCACAGGTGGAGAGAGCGAGGCTGGGAGTGAAGGACCCGGCTAAGGGTGCCCACCTGCTCAGTTCTCCTAGCCCTTCTGTGGCTACATGGGGCCACCGCTCCCACCCAGTACTTTGCAGACGTGGTCACTCAATGCTGGGCAAAGCTACCAGCCTGAGAACACAGCAGGCAAGGGCTTGGCGCCCCTCAGCTCTGACTGGCGAGTGAAAGAAGCAAAGCCTGGGAGAGCACTGAGGTGGCCAAGGCAGCACAGCCTGGCGGGCCAGCTCACCTTGGCATCTAGCGTCCGTCCTTCTTTCACCACGGGGTAAAACCGTGACGTCTGGCTGGAGTCTTTGAGCTGCGGTGTCCGTGGGGTGCGGGGGGTCCTGGCGTTGCGGTAGTTTGGCGACTCGGGGACCGTGGTTGGAAGAGAGCGGGCGATGGTCGAGGGCTCGGGAGCACCGAACAGCTTGTTGGCCAGGGCGTCCGTGGGGACTGCAGAGGCAGAGAGGGGTCAGCAAGTGGGAAGACACAGCCTGTGGGCTCCAGACCCTTCCCCACACAGGGCCTCAGGGGTCTGCCCCACACCTTGCTGGAACCGAGGGGGCCCAGGAGGAACTTCCTGGTTGGGATCCACGGGGGGCTCCGGGGTCAGCGTGTCAAACTGCTCCCGGCTGATCATGTTGACTTTCTTGAAGTTCTCAACTTCTTGCTGCAGGACAGGAAATGGGCGGGGAAACTGCCAGTGAGCAGGTTGCCTGGCCCAGCTAGGAATCAAGACCAGCAGGAAGCCCCAGAGGGCGGCTCCCACGTCCACATATGTGGAATTCTGGTCCCCAGGCTCTCCGCGCCCCCTTGCCTCAACCCAGTCACCCTGGTGTGAGTGTGCTGACCCCCAGGACGGCACCCACCCCGCCCTCCCCCACAGGAAGGCCGAGACCCAGTCAACCTCAGAACTCACCTAACTCTGCCAAGAGCCCAGGCCTCCCACACCTCCTGCCACTGTCTGGTCACACAGGGAGACATGGCTGGGCAACTCCCTCACCCCAGCAAATGCATGGCTACATGTCACACAGGTCACCCAAGGCCCGCCCACTCGGTCAGGCCCCACAACAGAGACGTTCCAACTGGTCCTAGCAGCAACAAGGCCCATCTTTTCTCCATTTTCCATACTCAGCGCAAGCTCCTTAAAAGGCCCTCAAACTTTCAGATACTAAATGTTTAAAACAGAAATGACAATCTAACCCTTCTTCTACGCCCCACATAAGTGCCTAGTCCACTGTTGTAACATTCAATGCAAACGCACAGGTGGGGAGATCAACACCCCCACCATGTGCAGTGTCCTCTCACTCTTCACGCCCAGCATGGCATCTGTCCTCACGCCCCACGCGAGAAAGCAGAGGCTCTCAACTGGAGGACCCACCTGAGGTCATCATACGATGGAATCAAGACCAGCAGGAAGTTGCAGAGGGCAGCTCCCATGTAGAAGCTTTCCTCTTCTCCACACATGCCCAGACCCCAGATCGCCGCCCGTGGCTGAGCCTCACCTTGATCTGGGAATACTCAGGCTCGAACTTCTCTGTCCACAGGTCCTGCTCATAGTAGAAGAGGCCATCATTGATGACCTTGGCCAGCTCGGCGCTCATCTTGGCACGCGAGGTGTGGTTGCCCGTGCGGTCTCCGCCGGGGTGCCGGCGCATGTAAGGTGGGGTCTGGGTGACGATGAGGATCTTGTTGACATCCCGGTCGTCGATCTCATAGTCAGAGTCCTCATCAGACCAGGCAGTGAAGGTGTTCTTCCGCCCGTCCATCTGCTCCATCTCCTCGTCAAACAGGAAGTCCAGCTCCTCTTGCTCGTCCTGATCCTTGGACATCAGCTGCTGGGAGGGTGGCTGCTGAGGCAGAGAGGCTGGGTGGGCAAACCTGGGTTCCTCTGATTTCTGAAACGGGACCAAGGGGAGAGGGAATCACCAGGGGTCTCCAGACCAGGCCCGGCAGTTGTCGCACAAGAGGGAGGACCCAGCCCTCAGCACAAGACCATCACAGCTGTGTCCCTGGCAACACCAGCAGGTCTCGGGGTCCTCCTGGGAGTCAGCTCACAGGGAGAGGATGTCCCACAGGAGTCCAGGTCCTCACTGACTGTTCATATTGCAGTCATCCGTGGACAGCTAGAAGATAAGCGCCCTGCAGGGGGGAACTGTGCTCTCATTTACCTTTCTAGCCTACATAGCACGCTGCCTGCGAGTGGGCACCCAGCAAAGGTCACAGGCTGGTCTATCTGTGTATCCATCCACTCAACACCTCCCAACAGCCTGGAAGCTCTAGGATGTGGGGGTCCTGGTGGCTTCACTCTCTATCACAGGCTCAGCACTTAAACCGGGACCACTGTGACGAACACAACAGTGCCTCTTTGTGCCAGGCACTGCATGAAAAACCTCAAGGCAGATAATGAAGAGGATAAGGGCCATATACTTAGGGAGCGCCCAGTTTAGTGGGAGAGAGGCCACCCACCAGTCAAGGCAATGTATCCTGGTGAAGGCCATACACAGGATTTGTGGGAGCACACAAGGAGGAAGCGAAAGATTAGGGGAGGCTTCCTAGAAGTGAATGAACATAAGCAAGCCAGGTAAAGGCAGGGGCACAGCATGCCAGGCAGAAAGGACAGCATGCCCCAATGGCAAGAGGACAAAGGGTGTCTGCAGCAAGTGGAAGTTTATTCAGTGTGGAAGGACGCAATTTATCTGCAACACGGGGAGAGAAACATTTCTCCACCTCAAAAACTTAAAAGTCAATTTCCTGCTGTGTCAAGAGCTTCTCGCATAATCTCTAAACCCATCTCTTTAAGGTTCAAGACAGGCCAGGTGGGAGTTGGGGCTCTAAATCTGAAATCCTCCGAGAGGGCTAGGTCTGGCTCCTGCCTTCCAAAGCTTTCAGTTCACAGGTCTGGTGGGCCTTGTAAGGTCCTTGTCCACATACTCCGTTGCTCCTCCTGACTCTGGCCTGACTGACACCACTTTCTAACAGTGGGGAATTCTGGATATGAATAGGCAGGGAAAGGGAAGGAGAGAAGAGGCCGTGGTAAAATAGAAAAGGGAGCATAGCCGGGTTCAGTGGCTCAGCCTGTAATCCTGCGCCTTTGGGAGGCTGAGGTGAGGGGACTGCCTGAACCCACAGGTTCGAGACCCACCTGGGCAGCGAGACCTCATCTCTACAATAAATCAAAAAATTAGCTGGGCTCGGTGGCTCATCCTGTAATCCTGCGCCTTTGGGAGGCTGAGGTGAGTGGACTGCCTGAGCCCGCAGGCTCGAGACCCGCCTGGGCAGCGAGACCTCATCTCTACAATAAATCAAAAAATCAGCCGGGCATGGGAGCACAAGCCTGTAATTCCGGCTACTTGGAAGGCTGAGGCGAAGGATCGCCGGAGCCCAGCAGGTCGAGGCTGCGGTGGCCGGGAGCGGCCACTGCACTCCAGTCTGGGCGGCAGAGTGAGACTCCAACTCAAAAAAAAAAGAAGAAAAGGGAGTATAGAATTCCACTAACCCAAAGCTCAAGATCAATTTGAGGTCTCCATACAAGCCCTAGAATGAAGGTCTTCCAAAGATGGGGTGAGAAGGTGAATGGAGCAAAATCCAGTGCTTGAAAAGGAAACAGTAATTTTAGCCTGAGACGGTTTTCCTATTTCTAGAGCACCCTAACCCCTCATTCCCTTTGTATCTTAAGATGGGGAAAACAAAGCCTTGAGATATGAAACAAGCTACCCAAGGTTACCTAACCATAAGCACAGGAGCCCTGTGCGTTCCAGTCTAGACCAACTCCACACCAGACCACGTGTCTGCTCCCTCTCCCTCCTCTCTTCTCAGGACAGCGAGGACGCGTTCAGGGTAGACACTGGAAATGCAGCTCCAGGCCTTAGATGGAGCAAGTCGGGCAGGCAAGAGGCCGGGACATGCTGCCAGATGCTGCGTCATCTCTTCCCATGAGAAAGGCCACTCGGGCACTCGCACAGCAGGGTGCGCTGAGGAGTGGTCCCACGGGAAATGGAAACAGGCCACACCAACCTTCCCACAGTCACTAAGGGTGACCTCAACCCGCTTTAAGATCCGCAACCACCCAGCTTCCCTCCAACGCCTCAGAGGCAGAGCTCTGTGCCACGTGAACCTCCTCTGGGCTCTCCAGCCCAGGGCCTAGACCCAGGCCAGGGCCAGGCCTCACTCACCTTGGGCCGTGCTGGGGAGGGCCGAGGACGCTTCTTCACTTCAATCCAGTTCTCAGAATCCAGGTCAGGCAGGCTGGCAGACAGGCCCTTGGGCAGTGTCTTTAGGTTGCTGACCTCTTCTGTTTTGGTTGGCACTGGGGTGACTGCACGTGGAGAGCCAGGTGCCGACTCTGGAGGTAGAATGGTTGGATTCTCAGCCCTCCAGTCCTCCACCTGAGGCCAGTCTTGAAGAGGACTGCCGGTAGAGGACAAGAGCAGCATGGAGCAGCCATATACCCACCTGTCTCCTTTTGGTAGTGCTGGCGGGGGACAAACTCAGGGCAGTTGAGGAGCTGGGAGAAATCAGTCTGTGAATAATCCACTATTGGGGGACCAGGAAGAGGCCACTTCTCAGGCTCCTCCCTTCTACGAACTTTCTCATCAACGATCTCCACCACCTGGCTGTCTTTCAGGGCCTGTGGAGGGGAAGGAAGGAGAGAGAATGAAGAAAGAAGACTGGGACAGATTGGGCTCCCATGAGCATGGGCATGAGTGCAACGCTAGCCACAGTCTCAGGAAGATGGAGCCATCTTCCATGACTGACAGACACAGGAGATGTTCAGCTCTGCAGCTGGTACCCACAAAAAAAAACCAAAAAACAAAAAACACGCCTATCGTTCACGCCTGGAATCCTAGCACTTTGGGAGGCAGAGATGAGAGGATTGCCAGAGTCCAGGGGTTCAAGACCAGCCTGGGTAACTTAACAAGACCTGGTCTCTACAATAAACCCCAAAATTAGCTGGGTGTGGTGGCACACACCTATGGTTCCAACTACTTAGAAGGCTGAGGTGGAGGAACCGCCTGAGCCCAGCAAGTAGAGGCTGCAGTGGCCATGAGTGTGCCACTGCACTCTAGCCTAGGACACAGAGTGAGATTCCTACTCAAAAAAATTATAATAATAATTAAGTGAAAGAGGAAAAACTTTCCACACATGGTAATACCCCCTCTGTTGGTGAGGCTGGGGAGAAAGGTAATTTTGCTGGTGAGGATGCAAAAGGTACAACCCCTAGAAAGAAAATTAGCCAGCATCTAGAAAAAAAATCACATATGCTCTGACCCTTCAACTCAACCATTCTAGAAATCTATACCAGATACACTGGCACAAACATGAGAAACTGAACCACACCGGGCTATTTACTACAAGCGCTAACACAGATTGTGTATTAGAGAAGACATGAACAACCAAAATGTCCATCTATCTACAGGGCAGCAGATAAAAAGTCCTTGGGACATCTACACAGCAGTGCAGTCTACAAGTGTTCATAGAAGTGAGGGCTAGCGTTCTATTATACACTGCTCCATGTAGTAACTTCCAGATATATTATGTGAAAACAAAAAGAACTGAAGAAATACATATGTCGTATATTATCATTTACCTAAGAAAGAGGAGGATACAAGTACACAGAGGCAATTGCTCCCCTCTGTCCCCAAAAGCTTACCTCTGGGGAAGAAAGGGTAGGGGTGACAGAAAGTCACGTTAAACTTCTATGAATATATCACACTGAGGCTTTGGAACCATGGACATGTTTTACACAATGTAAAACAACTTAGAAAATTATAGTGGTCAGAAAGCATTCCCAACCCAACAGCAAAATAAAACAAACATATATCAAGTTAAAGGCATAACCACACAAAAGTTATTTCAAATGACTTACAAATACAATCATTTTACTGCATACATTGCAATAAAATCACCCTGTTTTTGGTGGTTGTGGCGGTATTATTTTACAAAAATAATGTAGATATGCCATGAAATTAAATTTTTGGCATGGGAGAATGGACTAGGTACAAATAAAAGACCCACAGTGTTAAGTAAAGACCCTGTAATGAATTTTAATAGACAGTATTAGTATAATCTCGTGACATAGCTTATCACACCAAAAAACAAAAGAAACAATGCTCTAGAAGGAATGACCAACCAAGTGGCAACAAACACTCGTATGACTCAGGCAGTAGGTATCTAAATACCATTTCCCAAAAGAAAGGAGCTAGAGTGCTTTAAAAAGTGGCCAATTCCAGACCTGGGACGGGAAATGTATAGGATGAACTAGGGTCCCATCAGCCAAAGATGGGACGATTTGATCCAACACATTAATTGCAATGGGATGAAATAAACATGTTTGAATCCATAAGGTTATAACAACGAATGATACCACAAAAAAACAAACCAAAATCTCACTGGTGACCTTTGAAGGTTATTAGGGATCAACTAAGAATTCTGCAAACTGGTTAAGAGAGGGAAAAAGATCAAACATTCACCTGCCCTTCCTACACACACTATATCACCTATCAGTATCTGAATCACTGACAGGACAAGGTTAATCCTCAAAGAGGTATCCCAACTAATAAATGAGGGCAGGAAAGCAGCTGGCCACACCCTGGGCCTTCAGCAGAAGTCATCAGAGGGGGGCTCTTCCAGGGCATTCTGCCTGGGCCCCGAACTCCAGCTGCTTAGTAAGGACCCTTCTCTTCCCTGCACCCCAGCCCCAGGGAGGAAGACATACCATCAAGATGAGTGAAAGGTCAGTGGTAAGAGCCTGCACTCGGTGGAAGGAGGCGATCAGGGTGATGGGTAGGAAGCCATCTGCATCCATCTTCCGTCGCAGGAAAAAGTCTCGCTCTAAATTGTCCACGCTGAAGTAGTACTCACTAAGTGAAGAAAAGAGGAGTATCGCCAGGGACTCCCGCATCATGGCCACAACTTCCCTGTTCTGCCACACACCCCAGAAACCCCACACAGCCGATGCCCCTGCCTGGCCCTACCCTACACGCAAAGTGCTAAGGGCTGAAAAGGAAGCATGTCATCCCTTCACAGTCCCCCATCTCTCCTGGGTCAAATCACTCCCTTTGCCCTCTGCCTCTTGGCATGCCTGGCAAACTCCTCACTCTCCTCTAAAACCTAGTCCAAATATTGTGGGTCACTTTCCCCTTGCTCCTAAAACACCTGTAACAGTCGACTGTAACTCTGTCTCCTTGTAAGGCTTCCCTCTGAACTGAGACAACAGATCGCAGGGGCTAAGAGCAAAGGTTCCGCAATGAGACAGGAAGATTCCAATCTGTGCTTTGTTACTCACTAGCCAGGAGATTCTATGCAAGTTACTGGGTTTGTTTGCTTGTCTATAAAACGAGGATAAAAGCTCCAGCTCATAGGAATTCAGCAGGATTCAACACTGAGCCTGGCCAACAGTGAGGACCCAATAAACACTTGCCAGCATTCTGTCAGTGCTGTCGTTACAAACGGAAGCAGAGGGGCAGATTCTGAATATTTCCCCTCCTTTTGTCAGTGGTAGCCTCCAACTTTCTTAGGGTAAATACTGGCTGCTTAAACAGTACTTCATGAGAGCTAGCTTAAAGGGCGAGAGGAAAGTGATCATCACAGCTTCAGTCAGAGGCTCCGGCTGCTGCCAGCACCACAAGGGCCTGCCTGTCCAGCCCTGTTCTGCCCAGCCACAATCCCGACAACCCCGACCCCCTGCTTGTCGCCCACAGGAAGAAGGCTCTATGTGCTTACATCTGGCGCTTGATGTAGTCTTTGAGCAGCTCCTGGTCCACGCTGTACAGCTCGGTGCTGCTGACATTGTCAAAGTAGTAGGTGATATTGTTCATGTACTTGGGGGTGCGAGGCCCCTCTGTACCATCAAACTTCCGGTAGCCAAACTGGTAGTCAAAATGGGCTACGGGAGAAAATGGGTGCCATGAGGGAAAGAAGACGCCTGCCCGCCACCCCCTCCACACTCCCGCGGACATCCCGGAGCCCAAAGGGGCCTCACGTACTTCGAGTGCCACCCCGGCCGCGTCCCCGGCCGCGACCGCGCCCCCGTCCACGGCCACGGAAGGAAGCCCGAGCCCCACCAGCCCCATCACTCTTCACACTCGATGTCTCATCCTGGTCGTGCCAGGCGGGCTCCGGTTTGGTCTCTGGTTGCCAGGCTGGGGTGGGGGGGGCCACGGGCACGGGCACATAGGAGGCAGGCTCAGACCCTGTGGGGATAGGGAGCACTGCGTCAGGCTGAGGGTGTCCCCCATGCCAGGCCCTCTGTCAGGGGGAGTGCATACCTTTGATCTCCCCGCGGCTGGCAGGAATATGCCTCGGCTCCTGCGGGCGCGTGGGGCGTGAGGCCAGCTTGTCTCTGGGTACTTCAGGTTTCATGTCTATTTGTAACGGAACCCACTTGTGTTTGTTCCCTGGGAGACAGCACGGGCACGTGAGGAAGGCTCAAGGGAGACACCCCGCCCAACCAGCCCTGCCACCTCTTCTTCCCCTGCCCTGGGCTTGGGCCCAAATGACAGCCTGGTAACCTTGGCAAATCCCTTTCTCACACCTCTTTCTCATCCCTGAAGTAAGGAGGCCAGTGGTCCTTGGCATGATAGAGACTCCTGGTTAACTCCCTAGACTGATTTCTCTATGGCCAGAGAATCCCCTTCTGGAGGCGAACACATGGCTGCCCAGAATAAAGATTACACCTTCCAGACTCCCCACAGACATGTGCCAACGCACGGCCTTTGAGGGCTGAGTTAAAGCAACCAGTTCCAGGTTGAGCCCCTAAAATGGAAGGCTTCACCACTCTCTTCCCTGCTAGCTGGAAGAAGCAGAAACAGGACAAAAGGACGAAAGGGACGCCACATGAGGCCTGGCCCACTACACCAAGCTGTGACATGAGAGGAAGAAACCATTATCTTCTCTGAACCACAGTGGCTCTGGACCATCCCAATCATGTCAGCAGGTTGGCGGACAGATGTTGAAGGGAAGACTGCAGTCCCACTGGCCTACAGCTCCTATGGGTTTTTCAGAGGCACCTGCCCTCCCTCCAGCAGCCCCTGGACTCGGACATGTCACAGTTCTCTTGTCCCGCCTCCATAGCCCCGCGCCCGGCATGTACCTTTCTTCTTCTGCCCGCCTCGCTGGCAGTCCTCATCCCCATTCTTCTCTTCTCCCGACTCGTCTGACTTGGTTTTCGGGCTCTCCTTACTATCGTTCCCCTCTTTCTCCTGTTCCTTCATGTCCTTCTTGGGTGGCAGCTTACGGGCAGGCTGGGGCTTGTGGGACTGCGGCTGTGGCAGGAAGTCAAGTCACAGGGAGGTGAGGTGCATGTGGAAGTTTCAAGGCACGAGAGAGAGGGCACTCCCATCATTAGAAACACAGGGACAGTGCGTGGTGGCTCACGTCTATAACCCTAGCACTTTGGGAGGCCAAGGCAAGAGGGCTGCCTGAGCCCATGGGTTCAAGAATAGCCTGGGCAACTTGGTGAGACCTCGACTCTACAATAAATCAAAAAATTAGCCAGGCGTGGTGGCATGTGCCTATAGTTCCAGTTAATTGGAAGGCTGAGCCAGAAGGATCTCCTGAGCCTGCAGTGGCTGTGAGCGTGCCACTGACTCCAGCCTGGGCGACAGAGTGAGACTTCAACTCAAAAGAAGCAAAAAAAAGAAACACAGACAGGAGCTGCAGTAGGCGGAGGCAGGCTGCACTGCATGTGTTTAAGACCCGCTTTCACACCCAAGATACTTTCATGGGGAAGCACGGTCAGACAGGCCAGGAGGTGGGAGAGGCAATTTGTTGCTCTCGCTAAGTAACAGAGACAACCTCCAGGACAAAGGTACAGGGGCCAAGTGTTTACTCCCTGCAACAGGGCCATGTGGTCCAAGCAGTCTGTGGGACAGAGTGACGCCAGCCCCTGGCCTGTCAACAAAAAGCCCTGTCTGAGAACTGCAGGGGGTCACAGCCAGTGAGTAAGGGATCTAGGCCACTGGCCTGGAACAGAAATGCCAGGAAAGAGAGAGTTGACCAGAAGCCCCTTCTATTCCCGCCCTTGCTAGGGCCCAGGAAAGCTTTATAAGCATCCTTAAAAATGTGGTCTGGAGGTCAATATTCGGCCTAAGAACCACTCTCTATTTTACTCACAGGAAACCCAAGTGCAGTGATGGGGAATACAGGCTTTGGTGTGGTAAAACACACCCAACTTCTTATCTCCACTCAGCCATCAGGGGCTAGTAATTAAGCTCTCCTAGTCTCAGTAGCTTCATCTGTAAAATGGGAATTTTGAAAGCATCTATCTCAGAGTCATTGTGAGGGTTAGATGAGATGATGGACAATATAGTTGACATTGAACAGCACAGCTGAAACTGTGCGGATCCACTTATATGTGGGTTTTTTTCTTTTCTTTTTTTTTGAGTTGGAGTCTCACTCTGTCGCCCAGACTGGAGTGCAGTGGCCGCTCCCGGCCACCGCAGCCTCAACCTGCTGGGCTCTGGCGATCCTTCCGCTTCAGCCTTCCAAGGAGCTGGAACTACAGGCGCACGCTACCACGCCTGGCTAATTTTTTGATTTATTGTAGAGATGAGGTCTCACCAAGTTGCCTAGGCGGGTCTCAAGCCCGCAGGTTCAGGCAATCCACTCACCTCAGCCTTCCAAAGCGCTGGGATTACAGGCTGAGCCACCAAGCCTGGCAATGTGGGTTTTTTTCAACCAAATGTGGGTCAAAAATATAGTATCGGGGGATGTGAAACCCACGCCCATGGAAAGCCAACTTTCTTTTGTTTTTTTTGAGTTGGAGTCTCACTCTGTCGCCTAGACTGGAGTGCAGTGGCCACTCCCAGTCACCGCAGCCTCGACCTGCTGGGATCCGGTGATCCTTCTGCCTCCGTCTTCCA